GTGCTGCATATCGTTTTCCAGCTTCTTACAGTGCCTTAATGGACTCTTAGCTTCAGAGTCGGGGAGTGGGATTGTTCATTTCCATTTTCTCTCCCCCTTACCCTGCTTCAGAGTTGTACTCCCAGCACAGTCCCTTCTCCAACCTGGCTGAAGAAGGCCTGAGGGATTTACTGCTGACCCTTCCTTCCTCACTGCCTGGCTTTTGCTAATCATCTGTGCATGTCCTCATAAAAGGCGGGAGAACCTCCTTGGCTTCAGTGTTTGCTGATACCTGCCGCTGCCCTAGAGGTCTACTTTCTGGAACACCACTTCTCTTCAGTGCTCCCCAACCCAGTTTCTCTACAGTTGTTTCTCTTTCATCAAATGAAATGACAGATGATCTCTACTTCACCTGTTAGGTCCCTAAGCTCCAGTGTCTTGCCTTATCTGCTCCTACTTGGCCTTGCTCCCCACTGCATCCAGGGCATGTTACCCTCCTCGTTCCATTCGTGGTTTCAGGATAGAGCCCAGCCGTTCCTGCTGTAGGGCTTGTGGGCAGATTTGACATGGAGCCATTTCAGCTCCACAGACCACTCTGAGCTGCCTCCCAGGACGTCTCCCACACACAGACCTTTATTTTGGAGAAGTGAACCTTTTGGTTTTTCTTAGCCTTACCCACCATTCAGTATGTTACCTGTAAATCAGTAAATATTTATTAAATTATAGCAAAACTCAAAACTTGGTTAAAACAACATTTGAAGGAGACACTGTTCCACAGTAGTTTTGAACACAAACCTGGGTTCAAATCCTGACTCTGACACTTACTAGTAATGTCATGTCGGGCAAATCCCACAGCTCCTCAGGTTCCAGTGTCCTGCTTCTTGAGGTTGTTATGAGAATAAGAAAATGCACATAAAGTGCTTTGCAGAGCCTGATGTGTAGTAAACCATCCTAAATGGTAATTGCTTGGATTGCTTTTAAAGTCTCCAGTATTTGTATGATGTGTTAAGGACGTATGCTGGGAACCTCAGAGAACAATAAAAGATGTGCTATGAGATTTTTCCGTACAATTTCTCAAAGCCACTGCAGTTTTTCAGAAATAGGTGAAAACCTCCAAATCTAACCCCATACCTAGCATTATCTCCTTTGACTTCTATTGGACCCCCCACCTAGGAAAAAAAATCAGTGTCAAAACTCCTGGCAAATGTTATCATCAAAAGATTCACTGAAACCCAAGAATGATTATGTGCTTTTCTTTACTGAGTAGATGGGTAGAATTCTCTTCACCAGTTCTTTCCTGATGAATACACACACACACATGCACACTCACATGCACACACACCCAGTATTCTTGGCAGAAGATCTTGAATTAACTTTTGTGTCCTAATAAATTTATGTTAATGGTTATGTTTACACTTGACTAAGAGTGATAGACTTGAGCTGTGGGAATTGTCAAGGTGTCAAACCTCTGACAAACTCAGATGCTGAGGTCTTGACTTTCCCAGGCTGGAGGAGAGGTGAGGTGAACCACTGCTGGTGGCGCTCATGGGGCCACGATGAGTGACCCAGGAGAAGGCAGCCAAGTCTTCTAGACACAGTGCTCCCTAAGGACATGACACAGCCATCATGTCTTCAATCACAGAAGTGGTCAGGCCATGACTACCAGTGGAGCTACATGACCGTAGCAAGCAGAAATGCTAAGAATGTGCCAGAAGGGCTCATGAACTAGGCCATTATTTGATGGGTGGGGGAATAAGAGCTCTATCTATAGGAGCAGAATTTCTGTGAACAGATGGAGCATAGCATACTAGGTCCAGCTCCAGTTCCTGAAGAGAAGGCTTGGAAATAGCTGGACAGTATGTCTGTTGTGTCACAGTAAGTGGTAGTTAGACAGATGGAGCACAAGTCAGGCGAGGGCCGGCAGACCAGACTGTGTTCCTGACCCCGCAGACGAGATCTAGGCAGGAAATGAGGGCAGGGTGGGGTGCTGTAACTCATGCTATGACTTGGGGTGGTCCAAGCCCTGACACCAAGAGCAAGACAGGAGGGGATAGCGTTCGAGGGTTCCAAAATGTTACTTTGCCTAAGCACTTTTTCTGAAGAAGTCATTTGAAGTGTTTACTTGGCAATGATTCTCTAAACCATATACGTGTCGTTCATGCGCTCTGCTGTCTCCATGAAATATCTCCCAATAATAAAAGAAAGCATTTGGAGTTGTAACACTAGAAGAGAATTATAGAGGCTGTTTATCGTGTTTATAGGTACTCTTGTTACTGGGCAGGTGTGCTAGTAAGAACATCTGTAGTCATCTGATTCTTTTTCTCTAAATGTGTTAGGTCTTTCCTAAAGATTTATTATTTAAAATTTAAAAAATATTCTATGAATCACACACAGTACTCTAGAATGCCAAAGGGATTCTGTGCTTAAATTCCTACCTATTACCAAGATGCTAGCCTTGAAGATATTTAAAGAAATAAAGTTCATCTGAGTTTTAAAACTTACATTCAAAATAACCTGTTATAGTAGTTCTTTATCTGTTAAAATATTTTTCAGAACTGTAATTTAAAATCACTTTTGTTTAAAAATTTTATTTTTATTTATTTATTTGAGAGAGAGAGAGTATGAGAGGGGAAATGTCAGAGGGAGAGGCAGGCTCCCCGCTGAGCAGGGAGCCCAATGCGGTACCCGATCCTGGGACTCCAGGATCATGACCTGAGCCTAAGGCAGTCGTTCAACCAACGGAGCCACCCAGGTGCCCCTAAAATCACTTTTATCATTACCAAGAAGTATAGAGTTAATTCACAATAAAAACATAATTCTCTCATTATCTGGGTGTTGTTAACTCTTAATTCTCTAGTATATATCCTTCTAGATATTTTTCTGCATGGATTTTTTTACCCAAATGATATTATAGAGCAGTTTTAGGTTTATAATAAAATTGAGAGGAGGATATAGATTTTTCATTTGCCTCCCTACTCACATGAATAGCCTCTCCCATTATCAACCTCACTCACCAGCATGGTACCTTTTTTTTTTTTTAAACCAAGGACGAACCTACGTTGACGTATCATAATCACCCAAAGTTCATAGTTTACCTTAAGATTCATTCTTGATGTAGTACATTCTGTGGGTTCGGACAAATGAGTAAAAACATATCTCCATTATAATATCACAGTGCCCTAAAAATCCTCTGTGCTCTGCCTATTCATCCCTGCCCCACCGGCCTCTAGCAACCACTCATCATTTTACTGTCCCCATAGTTTTGCCTTTCCCAGAATGTCCTATAGCTGGAATCATACAGTCTGGAGCTTTCTCAGATTGACTTCTTGCACTCCTTTCACTTTCACTTCTTTCACTCTGCGTGTCTTTTCGTGACTCCAGAGCTCATTTCTTTTTAGCACTGAATAGTGTCCATTGTCAGATGAACCACAGTTCATCCATTTACCTGCTGAAGGACATCTTCGTTACTTCATAATATTCACATTTTGTAACCTACTTTTTCAATTAATGATTTTCTTTTTTTTTTTTTTTAAAGATTTTATTTACTTGACAGAGATCACAAGTAGACAGAGAAGCAGGCAGAGAGAGAGGAGGGAGGAAGCAGTCTTCCCACTGAGCAGAGAGCCCGACGCGGGGCTCGATCCCAGGACACTGGGATCATGACCTGAGCCGAAGGCAGAGGCTTTAACCCACTGAGCCACCCAGGCGCCCCTCAATTAATGATTTTCTAATCACTAATGTTTTTAATCTCATCTAGAACCTAAATCAGTATATAAATTTCAAAAACAAAACAAAACAAAAACCTCTTTTCAGCAGGTTGATCCAAATCTGGGACCAAATGTCATATTTAGCTTTGATGCTGGTTCGTCTAGACCAATCCTTTTTTCTTAAGACATTGGACTTGAAGAGACAAACCCAGGCATCCTGCAGAAAGTGCTGCCTTCGGGGTTTTTCTGGATGCTTCCCTGTAGTATTGTTCAGCATGTCGTTCTGTTCATTGTATTGACTGTGAAGTGGAAGTGAAAGCTGCTGTTGTGCTAGATTCAGTTCAGCATCTGTAGTAAGAATACATTATGGATGCTGTTACGTGTTTTTGCCCTGTCCTGCATCGGTATAACGACAACCTGATCCCCCTCCACCATGTGCATGTGGTTATATTTGTCCCCTTGCTTCTGGGACGTCATAATCTGTGTGTCGGTGCATTGGCATCATAAGAATGTCCAATTCTTTTTTTTTTTTTTTTTTTTTTCAAATAATCTTTACACACAACATGGGGCTTGAACTCATGACCCTGAGATCAAGAGTTGGATTCTCCACTAAGTCAGCTAGGCATCCCAAATGTCCAGTTTTTTATCCAACGATTTTCCTGCCGATTTTAGCATTCCCAAGTGACAACCTTTAACTAAAGAAAGAGTTACATTAGGAATATGAAACTATATATTCTAAATCTGTAATTCCTTTTACATTTGTTAGCTGGTGTCTTCTGTGAAGTAGAGATTTCTCTCTCATGGTAGGACTCTTAGAGAACCCTGAAAAACAGTTTCCTTTAATTGCCAGTTTTCGAAATAAGGAGGTGTTCAGTAGCAACCTCAGATGAGATGTTGGAAGAATTTAAACATTTTTTTTTAAATGCTGTGGTCACTGCAAATATGATTTCTTGTGTACTTCCTGTGTATCAGGCACTGTGCAAAAGGCTTTATGGAACCTAACTCTTACGACAATATACCAAGATTTTAGAGATAGAAATAGTGATCTTGCATGGCCAGATAATGTGATAGAGTTTCTTCTGGGAGAAATAGCAAAACTGGGATTCGGACCCAAGTTGGTCCCAGCCCAAAATCCATGCTTAATTCCTTCTCTCTCTGTCTTTGTTGTATTTTACTTAAAAGCCAAATTCTATTTGTAATCCTGTGTGGAATGTTTCCCAGTTCATAAACAGTAGAAATGGAAATGATGCTTAGTCATTTTCATGAGGTCTCTTATCCCTCCCTTTTATATTTTGTTTTTAATATTTTTAACAGTGTGAAGAAAACACAAATCTTCAGGATACTACCCGCTACCTCAAACTTCCCTTTTCCAAGGGCATCCTTCTTGGAAATAATCATCAAGCCATTAAGGCCACAAAGGAGTCTTTTTGGATAACATCTTTTCTCTGTTCCACAAAACTCACACAAAATGGTAATGTATCATGCTGTTTTATTTGAAAGCCCTGTACTTAATCACTCCTGTGAATTTTGGTAGACACGTTTAATAAACACCAGTGTTATATTTAAGAACTTTGCACTAGAAAAATTGTTGATCCTTCTGTTTGTGATCTCCAGTGAAATGGAAACCTTTGCGACCCAATGGTCTGTTAATGCATCTAATTTAAAGATTTCAAAATCATCCCAGGATTGAAACCCAAGTGCACAACGCTTCAAAACCCAGCTGCTTTTTAAAAAGAGGAAGAGGGAGAGACAAAGAATACCACCATTTAATCTCTCTTGTTTTATAGCTCCATAAACAGTGCTAATTGTAGGCTTTGGAATAAGGCTGTTTTTCGTTTAATTAGCTGGATATTGCTTTTCTATTCTACCATACTTTTTATGTCAGTGATTGTTTACCAAGTTATGATTAATAAAACAAGCTCTTCTCCTTGGAAAATCGTCATGAAAACATCATCTGTAATGAAGGAAGGAAATGAAATATATTTTAATTCTTCATGGTTGCCATATAAGGCTTCTGGCTAGCATTCTGAATGCCATATTAATAAGTCAGATTCATTATGTTGAGAATCACTTTATAATAAGGTATTGAATCTCATAAAGTGTTCCTGTGCCTAAACATCAGTAAGTGCGATTAGTTCTTTCTTTGTGTCACAGAACAGCATTTGTAGAAGGAAACATATTTCTTTTCTTAGGACATGGCCTCAGAAAAAAAGTAAAATGTCGCATTATAATATTGACCTCTTTTAAGCTACCTTTCAGTTTCTCTTGCAGTGCTGCTATATATATGTAGGACTTTGGCAAATGATCCTTTCACATTTCGTTGTTGGTTTGTTTCTCCCCTTCCAAAATTATTTTTGGAGAAATATTTTTCAAAATCAACTGTGTATTTTTAATACATTTGGTTGAAGGTAGCCATCGCCAAGTTAAGAAACATCAAGAGTTTATCCGTATTCAGTGATGAATGATTTTACTTAAATAAAAACTTCACTGACAGAACCGGATATAGTTTATAAAGCATTTACAACACCTCAGGTGTTATTTTTTATGGAGTCATCCCTACGGAGATTATGAAGATAAGAATATCAACCTACTGTTGACTCCTTCAGACAGAAATTGTACTTACTCTGTGTGGATTAGTTGTATGTCTGTTACAGAGCCTAGGTTCACATTTAACCGATTGCCTCTGGTAGAATAATTTCAGGTTGTATTAGTTACCTCCTGCTGTAGGAACAATTACTGTAAACTTACTGGCTTAAAACAACAAACATGTATCATTGAGCTGTTCGGGAGGTCAGAAATCTGAAATCTTTTTCACTGAACTAAAATCAGGGTGTCAGCACACCTGCATTTGTCCTGGAAGCTCTAGGGAAGAACGTGTGGCTTACTTTTTTAGCTTCCAACGGGGCTACCTGTGTTCCTTGGCTCACGGCCTCTCCTCTGTCTTCAAAGCCAGCAGTGTAGCACCTTGACATGGTTATGACCATCTTCTGTGTCTTAAGGATCCTTGTGATTACTTTGGGCCCACTAGCTATTCCATGATAGTCGCCCCTATTTTAAGACCTTTAATTTAATCACATCTGTGAAATCTCTTTTGTCATAAAAGGTAAACATATTCACAGGTACCAGAGATTAGGACATCAACATCTATGGGGCCGCTGTTCTGCCGACCACACAGATAATCCTAGCAATAGCTTATCTCCCATCAAAGTATTTGGCCGACTTAACCTTTTCTTGTTCTCAGGTTTAGGTTGTTAGACAGAATTGTGAACATAAAACAGAACCAAATCCTAAAAACTAGAAGTTGCTGCTTTGTAAAAGTGGAGAACATTTTCAGGTAGATATTGGTAAATAAACATATTTAGAAGTCATTATATTAAACATCTCACTATGTGAAGGACAATGCTTGTCTTCTTTTTGGACACTGATAAGTGCTTAATTATCATTTGGGTTTGTTTAACCTTGTCAGTGTAACACAGCTGGGAATGAACCAGGCGATAAATACTGTGTTTCAAAGAGATGAGAAGGAAGAAGGAAGTTAGTTGATCTTTCTGGAATTTACATGCTAGACACACGTTTCTGTGTAGAAGTAATCCAGCTCCAAATTGGAATTAAATTGCTTTGTATTCATTTTACTCAAATTGGAAAATAGACAAATCCCATTTCCATTACAATTGGGCATTTAGCAAGTGATACGGTCTCTAGAAATAGTTTCTTACAGCAGATTTGCATTTCACAATCCCTAAAGTGAGTCTCTGCACCGATTCTGTGCTCCAATATTGTTCAGGGCTAGTGTTCCAAGGCCGGAGCACCCTGCCGGACATCAGGGACAGCCAGATCGAGGAGATACTTGAAGCTTCTTGAAAGTAGGGATCAGAGAATAAATGCTTTTACTTACTTGTTTTCTTCCTTGGGCTGTTAAACACAACTTTTAAAAAAGTTTAAAAACAGTGCTTAAATTTAGCCTGACAGTTAATTGTACAGTTGCTGACTTGCCCACATCCCCTTCTCCCCCAAATAATGGGTGGTTCATTCAGTCTCTTCCTGAGAGTGTGATTTAAAATTTTTTAAAAAGTAGGGATTATGGGGCACCTGGGTGGCTCAGTGGGTTAAAGCCTCTGCCTTCGGCTCGGGTCATGGTCCCAGTGTCCTGGGATCGAGCCCCACATCGGGCTCTCTGCTCTGCAGGGAGCCTGCTTCCACCTCTCTCTCTATCTGTCTGCCTCTCTGCCTACTTGTGATCTCTGTCTGTCAAATAAATAAATAAAATCTTTAAAAAAAAAAAAAAAAAGTAGGGATTATGTCATCCATCTATTTTCTAGCTCTTGGTAGGTCAAACCTACAGTATGCTCTTAAATGCTTGTGGAATGGAATGCTTAAAATTTGCATTTTCAGCAATAGGTCATAGCTCCTAATTTGCAACTAACCTATCTTCAGACAGCAAAATAGAGACCTAGGTGATGACGGTTCTGACTTAATTCTGAGCACTTTGTACACATGATTAATTACACCGAGAGGAACATACGGCTTTACTCTTCCTTTCCTCCATTATGAGCAGTCAAGAGATCCATCAGACTTTTTGCCGGAAAGGTCCACAGCCCCACCTCAATCTGATTGTCTTGGACCACTGTCCTCTCTTCTCCAGCTCTCCTGATGACAGTGCTGTTCCTGGTTTCCCACTGCTGCCTCTGGGGCTGCTACCTCCTTCCTCCGCACACACTCCTCACACTGGGCTACGCCTTGGACGCCTTGCCCTAAGGGGCAAGAAAGAGAGGAGGGAGACTGAGTGAGAGCTGGAGTGGAGGTGGAGTGGGAAGTGAGGAGTAAGTGGCAGGGGTCATGCGCTGGGGAACTGTGAGAGAAGATGCCTGGGCAGGAAGGCTTCCTGCGGTAGGATGCAGGAAGTAAGAAGTATGTGGGAGGGAGGCCGCAAACAGATGGGAGAAGAATGCGGTGCTCCCTCTGCCATGGCAGGTCTCCCTCTGTGGAAATACCTACTCTTCTACATGTAACCAGTCATTTTTAAAAAGGTTCCAATCCTACCTCCACGATGTCTGAGTTAGTCATGAATACTAAACACTTTCAGGTTTTTCTGCTATGGAAAGCACCATAAATTTCTCTTTCCAAGTCATTATTTTTCAAATTCCCTCATTTTTTCTAATTCTAAACCATCCTTTTATCCCTGTTTGATGTAGATAAATATTTCTATTTAAGACTAAATGTCTTACTTTTAAGTCCTTTGTGAAGTTTTTCTCTTGAATCTGGCTGAGGTGAAGGTTGCTTCTCTCTCCTCTGAAGATTCTTTTGCTTTTTCTCATCTCTCTTCACTACAGCATTTTTTTTTCATCGCAACTACCTCTTCCTCGATTTTTTTATTTTTGTTTTCTTCAGGTTTTCATTTCCATGTTGGTTTTTCTGTCTTTAAGCAAGTCCCATTGGGGTTTCTCCTGAAATGCTTTCAAGTGGAGTTCACACCATTAAGCCTGGGAAGTCCTTCATGGCTTCTTTCTTGGCTGTTCTAGTCTTCCAGCCCCACTGAGCCCGCGAAGCCAGCTCCGCCAGGGTCCCTTGCTCTGTGCGCTCCTGCACACACGCAAGCCTTGTTGGTTCTTACCTGCTGTCATTGGCTCCAGACGCCACTGTCTCCCTGCTCCCTCTGGACACTAGTGAAGCTGGCCACTATGTTCAGGAGCCTTCCTAACTTTTGCCCAGAAAAGCCGAGGGAAGGATTTTTTTTCCCTCACTGGGGGAAGAGGTTCTCCGAGGACCCTTGTAGACTCAGGCCCACGTCTTGTCAGTTTCGGAAGGGAAGGAAATGGAAGACATGGGCCCTGCACCTGCCCAGAATCTGGGCTGGAAGATGACCATGACGTCCAGAAACTGGCCCTCTCAAGTCCACGGGCTCACTAGATGACCCAGCAATTGACCAGACTTGTCATCCTTGTGCAGGGGACCTTCTTGTCCTGCCAAGTTTGGGTCACATTGTCAAGAAGACCTTCATTGCCAGGTAGAATTGGTTGCTGGGCAGAGTGCTGAGTGCTGGGGGCACAACTATGGATAAAGCAGGTTTCTGACCCTCAAGAAACTCCCACTTTGGCAGAAAAGGATTCAACAAATATTTATCAACTGCCAACTATCTGCCTGCTCTTGTACCCATGCTGGGATACTAACTCAGCATGTTGGCTTTTTCTTTCTTGGAGTTTACAATCTAGTAGGCACAAAGACAACTGAAATAGTGAGGTCAGCGCCACTGTGAGGTGAGAGCACGAAGCAGCGACAGTTAGCTCAGTCCAGAGGTTTTGGGAAAGAAGGGTTTCTGGATGAAGCAACAGCTAATCTGGGAACTGAAGGGTAAGTAGGAGTTTGTAAATCAAGAGCACTGGGAAGAGAGAAATAATTAGAATACACTGTAATATAATAAATGCCGTCTTAGAGAGCTAGTCATGGTCTGGGGGAACCTGAAACTTGGATAACCAGGAGGGTTAGGCAACATGTATAGAGGACTCTAGCTTTTACCGCTGAAACACTTTCATGTGAGAGACAATTCTCTGCTAAGGTGATTAACCTTCTCTTTCTTGTTGGAAAGGTGATATGCTTGATCTCTTGAAATGGAGAACCCACCCAGACAAGATCACAGGCTGTCTCTCTAAAATAAAAGAAATCGATGGCTCAGAGATAGTAAAGGTATATGGTGTTTTGTTATCTCTCTCGGGAAATTCATGGAATAAAGAATATTTGGAGGGGAAGGGCAGATGATATTTTCCTTATTAATTTATTTCTTTATCTTACAGTTTCTGCAAGATACACTGGATACCTTATTTGGAATTTTAGATGAAAATTCCCAAAAATATGGGTCTAAAGTATTTGATTCTTTGGTGAGTTTAAATTCACTTTAATTATATCCTAACAATTTTGTCTCTTGATCTTGACTTTCGTAAGGCTCTTTCTGAAATGTGCACTGAATAGCGTAAGTCATTTAAAAAGAACCCTCCCCCACAAAAAAAAAAAAAAACACACAACAAAAAAACCCATAATTTGCATTTGGTTTTATAAACCTCAAATTTCTTTTTAGGTTCACATAATAAATTTGCTGCAAGATAGCAAATTCCATCATTTTAAACCTGTAATGGACACTTACATTGAGAGTCACTTTGCTGGGGCACTTGCATACAGGTAAGGCCTTTATCTTGTAATTGGTTTAGAAGCAGTTCCTTTTGAGCCTTTCTACGCAGAACCAGCAATATAGGAAAATTTAAAAGGGAGTGTAGGAAGAAATGAACCACAACAACTGAAGTGTCTCTTGAGTCAGTCTCTTCCTTTCTCACACATCTTTTTTTAATGGCTGCAACTTACTTTGATTAAAAGGACTGAAAAAAAGAAAAAAAAAAAAGCCTTTCTGAATTCTATTCCTAAAACCGAAACTTTAAAATGTTTTCTTCTTGTCTCCATTTCATGTGGTATTGTTTCATCTGAATGTCTGGTTATTTCAACCTGGTTGCCAAGAACCCCATTTAACCACCACATTCCTTGCTTACTCTAGAAGTCTTTAAGAAAGAGATGTGAAAGGAAAACAGCCTTGGTCATTGTATCTTTTTAAATTCTTTCACTCATTTATCTGTTAATATTTACTGAGCTCCTACTGCCTGCCTAATGCATGCTGATTCCTGTGAAGCCATTAAGCAGGTCAGCTGGGGGCTTGACCCTTTGATAGGAACTGCCATTTTCACAGCTCATCCCTTCCTGTTAGCTCAGATTCTGCAGGCAAGACTAAAGTGAATGAATAATGACAAGCTGTAGCTCTTACCTGCCTCCCTGCAACCCAGTTGATACTTGCCAGAAGGTAACAGCGTCTCTCTTTCTCTGCTATGTATAACATCTTCCTGGTCTTTCGCCTTGCTTAAGTACAACCCTGGAATGTTCCCCAAAGTTCTTTCTCCCCATTCTAACACTGCCATCACTATTCTGGTATTTTTACCTTATACTTTAAGCACCAAACCAGGTACACGCACAATCATTTATTCCCAGAAGTGTGGTTAAAAAAAAGATGGAATCGTGTTTTTGCCCTTTTCCCCCCATCATGTGATATATAAAAGATAAATAATCAAATAAGCATTTGATCCTGTTATCTTGGGTATTGCCTCTCAAGGCATGTGAAGATTTAATACTCCCAACATTTCAATGAATGGCATGTCATCATGATTTTTACAGAGAGTGAAATGTACTATCAGGGATAGTTAGAAACATTGGCCTGACTCTGCCACTCGGCCTAACATTTGGGGCCCTAGTAATATCTCACCACTTTTCAGTGGAAGCTGGAGAGGAACGGTGTAATTTCTAACACTTTATGTTGGCCAGGAGAGCAGGATAATCATTCCTAACAAGACAGATAAGGCCTATGGAATCTTCTCGGGCTATGGGTGGTCAGAAACTCACTGACATTTATCTTCAAAATAATATTCCTGGCACACCTGCCTTGTACCACATCCATGCGTTCTTCCCTGTCTGAGAGAAAAGAGGAACAATTTTTAAAAATTGCTCTGTTTCCTAGAAACCAAGAACAGAACAAAGGTAAAGGTAGCAAGACTGCAATCTTGAGAATTATTGTTGTTTTTTTTTTAATTCCAATTTTGTTCCTTATAAGAAAAAACAAACTTGGCTGTTTTGGAAGTTCTCTTACTAAGGCACTCTGATGATAAGCCTTGTTCTTCCCACAGGTCCAAGAATTGGCTAGATCAGTCCATGGGCATGTGATCTGGAATAGGGAGTTGTTGCCTTATCCTTCCCCACACCCGCTTTGGCCTCCAACGGAGTATTTCATCCAGCTGTTTACACGGTCACTGGGGAAGAAATCCCAATTATCAGTTGTCCAAGATGGACCGTGGTGGTCAGACTTCCAGGCCCTTTCTTGGCCAGAGTCCTTGTCTCTGTTGTTTGTGTTTATCCATTGGGAAGCTTTGCCAGAAACGTCAGGGTCAATGGGACATGGCCGTATCGAGGAGAATCTCATTGGGAGGAAGTATTTCTCTGTTCAGCTTCAGAGAGGGGTAGTGATGTTGGTGTGCACATTCCTAATATCATGAGATGAAGCGGTCTGACAGAACGCTGTGAGGACTGACGGGAAAAGAAGCCTCCTCATGATAAAAATGTTGGATCTTTGGCTTTCAGCTGAGAACTCGACCAAGTTCACCTTCTGTCTCTCTTGCCCTGTGTTTCAGAGATCTCATCAAAGTTCTCAAGTGGTACGTGGACCGGATAACGGAAGCAGAACGGCAAGAGCACATCCAGGAGGTGTTGAAGGTAAAGACACGCCAGCGACAGCAGATAATGTTATCAAACAGAGCTGTTGCATGGTGATGCCTAAGCTAATTGCTTTCCTCTACACAGACAGTAATTGGTGATGATATAGTACTGGCATCCCAATTCAAGGATGTTAATCAGTTTATGCTCCTCCAGAGCTGATGAAATTTGAAAGAAGCTTTGCCAGGCTCACCCACTAGAACTGCTTGGGATTGAATCCTTGTACCTCTGAGCTCCAGAACCCTTGGAGCGAAGTCTAGGGTTGGCAGGAGGGAGGTCTGAGGACAGAAGACCACGGGTGGGCAGTTCAGCTTGCAGTTTCCTGGCTCTTGCCTTCAACACCCTGACAGAGGCCGTTTGAGAACGATTTGTCTGACATTTTGAGAGAGAATAGGGTGGCTTGGAGACCTGAGGTTTTACTGGGTCTCAGGGTTTAGTGCTGCCCACATGTCTGGGCCCTTAGTGCTCTGAGGGAGATGCTAACACTCCACTTGCAAATGTGTTCATGACGAATGAAGGTTCTTAAAGGAATTGTCCAGTAGCAGGTCTGAGAGTCCTCTCACGTCCTGTCGTTGAGTGCCACTCCATTTGATGTCAGTAGATAATGTGATGACAGGTATGCACTTTTTAAAGCAAGTAGTTTCCTAATTATAAATTTATCACGTTGGTCTGATGGAAGGTAAAATGCTAAGTGGCAAGAGTACCTGCCAGCAAAGCACAGTAATTTTTGAGAAGCAGACAGGTATCTCTCTGTTAACTAAAACCACCTGAGGATCGAAAGCATCTCAGGCTCCTACTTCTTGAGAATTAGAAAGAATTTTCAAATTAGCTATACATTTTCTCTCATTAGCATCAGAGAAAAATGGCACTTCCCCCACAAGTAAATTCTATTCAAAAATCTCCGTGGGTCTTAGTGTTTAAATCAATAATTTAAATTTCTGATGTTGTCCTGTGGTTTTTATGCTGTGTCATTGTTAAATCCTCTAGGTTTCCTTTGAGACTAACTTTTAAAACATTTCATTTTAAGGCACAAGAGTATATTTTTAAGTACATAGTGCAATCTCGAAGGCTCTTTTCCCTCGCCACCGGTGGACAAAACGAAGAGGAATTTCGCTGCTGCATTCAGGAGCTCCTTATGTCAGTCCGTTTCTTCCTTTCTCAAGAAAGCAAAGGGTCGGGAGCCTTATCTCAATCACAGGTAATGTTTTTTCATCTCTGTTTGGGAAAGCAAAAACGAGTCCAGTTTATTCGTGTTTACATAGCAGCGGGATGTTTTCCTCATGAGAAATCCGTCTCTCCTGTTGATATACGGAGTGCGAGCAACTTTGCAGATTTTAAAAAGGTCCCCTAGCTTCCAAGCGGCAGCATAGCAGAAGTTAGGTTGCCTCTCCTCCAACTGCTCTCACTGTTTGTGGGGAGACTGTTGGTCTGCAGCAGCCTAGATTTCAGTTCCCAAAACACAAGCTGGTGTGTGGACACGGCATCACCATCCGCCTTGAGGAAGGAAGTTCCCTGGAGCCGACTTGTTACCGTTGTTTACCCCAAGCCTTGCACCGCATTTTAATCTGTCACCTTGAGACTCATTGTATGGGACTTGGCTAAACTGGCATGTTGTTTTGTTTTATATATCTTGACCCTAATCGTCCTGGGACTGATCTTACTTGACCAGTGCTGGGCAGCTGTTGCCAAATACTATTACTGGGAGTAGCTCCACGGGTTTTAAGGACAGGGTTTATCCCCTTTCCAAGTAGCATGGCCTTGAACGTATGCTGAGCAATCATTCTCAATACCTTACTCTACATTTTCTTAATCCTTCTGATACACTTTTAGTTCTAAAGATTTGGTTAAAAACCTGTCAGATGGAGAAGCAGCCTCTTTGCTGCCATCCCCTGGAGACTAGAGATTTATCATCACTGAGAATTAGCAGGGGAAATGAGAGATTAGAAGACAAAACTAACTAGATCCCTTGGAATAACACGATAACTTGGTGCCATTTGACATTTGGAAGGCATTACGTATAATGGGGAAAAACCAGAAATGTACCAACCCTCTAACGAGAGTGCTGTGCTTTTTCTGACTTGTGGTGGCTGTTCTTGTTAATCTCTTCTTTACACACATGAACTAATTCTTACACATGGGCAAGGATACAATACAGGCTCTTTTAATGACATTTTGGCCTCTATTGCCAATGGCACAATCCCCACGCTTGAGGAACTTGCCAGATACCTCAAAGTCAAATTGCCCACTAGCCAAACACTACTTTCAGCAGTTGATACTTAAAAAAGATAATCCAACAAGCTAATCAAGTATTCCTTTACATCAGAGGTCTCAGTAACTCACTACTTTTATGAAAGCTCTTGTAGTTGAGATTTTTTATCTTAAACCTTTACTGGTTAATAGGGACAAGACTTTTTAAATTCACATCTGAAAAAATTCTCTCTTACTTTTAAGAGTAAGTTTAAGTCATGGTTTCTCAGTGACATGCCTTCCTAGGGACTCAAGAGGTCTTTTCCCTTCTATAAAGTTAGGGAAGTAGTCTTTTTCCTTAGTTATGTTTCCACTGTGTCTTAGCAGTTGCCCTGAGATGACCCAGGCACACGTGATGTGATCATTTTCTTTTAGGCTGATGCTAAGAGAATTCATAGAAAATGACGAAGTGGTTAGTTTTCTTTATTAAGCAAAGAGGACTTTGTCCCTCTGTATTTTGGGAGAAAGGGAAATACTCTAGAGCTTTTTTTTTTATTCCAAGTTCCCTTTTGACCTCACACCTTCATGGCTATCTTTTCTGAGAATGAAGGCGTTACTAATCTGATTGACCCTGCACATGACTTTTCTATTGCTGCGTGACAAGTAACCAAGTGCTTAATGGCTTTAAATAACATCCACTTATGCACAATTCTGTAGATAAGAAGGGTTGATTAGATCTTTTATTTACGGTCTCCTACAGCCAAAATCAAGGTGTTGGCCTCGATGGCTTATTCGGAGATTCTGGGGAAGAATTTACTTTCAGAATCTTCCAAGTGTTCATAAGAATGAGATTCCTATTTCCTTGCTGGTTATCAGCAAGGGGTTGGAGGAGAGGAGGAGTGTTCTCAGCTCCTAGAGCCCATTCGCATTCCTTGGTGTGTGGCCCCTCCATCCTCAAAACCAGCAACAATATGTCCAATCCTTCTCATGCTTCAAATCTCTCTGAATCCTCCCACCATGAGCTAGAGAAAACTTCTGCTTTAAAGGATCAGGGTCATGTCATTTGGTCAGGCCCATATGGACAATCTCCATATTTTTTTTAAAGTTTTTTTATTTGACAGAGAGAGATCACAAGCAGGCAGAGAGGCAGGCAGAGAGAGGGGGAAACAGGCTCTCCGCTGAGCAGAGAGCCCAATGCGGGGCTTGATCCCAGGCCATGACCGGAGCCGAAGGCAGAGGCTCAACCCACGAGCCACCCAGGTGCCCCAAATCTCCATATTTTTAAAGATCAGCTCATTAGTGACCTTCATTAAACCTGCAAAATCCTTTTTTCCATGTAACATAACTTAGTTGCGGGGACCACACTGAGGGGAAAAGATCTTGGGGTCATCATAGAATTCTGCACATCCAGAGCTAGAGATATCCACCGGTCTGAGTCCAAAACCCAGTTTCCTTGCTCTCTTTTGCATTTTTTCATTGTGGGCTCTGACTCAGGGCAAATGCTGTCTTCTGGAGGCAGAGCAGCCATCCCAGAAAGCCTTCCTGTTCGATCAGTTTATAGCGCCCCACAGATCAGGCCATCCTCACTCTTCCAGCATGCTCATTTAGTCCTCCTGCCCTAACCCCGGCTCACTAATGACTCTGTCTCTGGGAGCCCGGCCCCAACAGGACTGCCAGCCCACTCAGGGGTTGGAGCTGTGGCTCTTGGTTTCCCCTTCCACGGACAGATCCCTTCCCTGGATCCCCAAGAGCAGAAGAGGAATGTATGACCCTGCCCCAAATTCCTAACAATTATCTTTCTGTATTTGTCTTGGCTACCAAGAAGGTCAAAATAAAATTGGGCTTTTCTTCTTATTTGCAATAAAAATCCTTAGCTTAGATATCTTGATCCAACTATCTTTCTGCCCTTATCACAAGGTGCTTGTGCCTGTATCCTTTTTAATAACGTATCTTCACTGCAGTCACATTCAGATCCGTTTTTCAAGTAAAGAGCTATAAATAAAGAAGTAACAGATAAATGAAAAGATTCCTGAGGAATATCAACATAGTTGACTTTTCAGTAATCAGAAGGCTGGGCTCATTTTATTGTATCTTATTTCTTTAACTTCATCTGTATGACTCAGCTCTTTGCAGAGTGAAATGAAGGTTATATAAATATAGTCTTTAACCGAGAATACCAAGTTATTAACTTTAAATGCATCCAAGTAAGCCTCTACTGTTTAAGAGTCAAGGAGAACGTAGCTGTTGACTGCAGCCCCTGAAGCATTTTGATGGTTCTGGTGTCAAAAACGGGTCTTGGCTCTTGCACATATCTCTGCTGCTGCTGTACAGATAAATGCCAAAACCCACGAATTTGAATTTGACTCTGTATTTGAATCATCAGCACATGTAGACTCAACCTACTTTTTGCTGGTGTCAGATCTCATTGGTAAGCCAGCTAACACTTGAATATTAGCATATTAGAAACATGTGCCTCCTCCCCCCCCCCTCGCTTGATAGACTGGAGGCTGGTTGACGCTTCCTTCCACTGCTCTCCTTTTGTGGAATTCAAAAGACAGGGTTTGTTTTGATGTACCATCCTAGCCCAATTTGTGTCCCTTAGGATTTGATACGAGCACTTTTTTTCCCTTAAAAAGTGGTTAGCAAGCTTCTTCACGTACATAAAGAATATTGTTCTTAGTACACACAGTTCTGGGGTTATAGGAAATCTCAAAGCAACCTAAAGGTTTGTTATAATGAACTTTTGATCTTACAGGTGATAAAACTGAAATCCAAGAAGCTAAAGTGATTTGTCCAAGGTCACAGAGTTGATTAGAGGCCAAGCCAGTAGTACCTATAATCTAGGTCTTCTGGTTCTCTGTCTTGTTTTTTTTCTTTAACCATAACTTCAGTGCTTTCGGGAATCAATGGGTTTGGTTTCTTTAAGGTAAATGAGATTTAGATGAGCACTTGAGAAACCTCTAAAAAGAAAGGAAATATAAGTGATGGCATTCCAGGCCTTGGCTGAGCATTCTTTCCATTTGATCATGCTGCATTTTGCTGATTCTGTGCGATTTTTTGCCAATCCTTTTGCTAATGTCAGTGATTTTCCAAAATTTCTCAGTTTTATTATATTGCACCCTTGCACATTTTAAAACATGGCTTTTTTTTTTTTTTAATTGCAGCCTTTTACCTTTAGGTACTGGAACCATCTTACTTCATTTTTTTAATCATTCAAAATTATTTGTCACAGTCTTAAACTCATTGACATTTTACAGCAAATTTCTTGGGGCATATCTTGGAGTTGATTTAAATCTCTTCCTTTCAAGGCTGTGTTTCTGAGCTCCTTCCCAGCTGTGTACTCCGAGCTGCTGAAGCTCTTTGATGTGAGGGAAGTGGCCAACTTGGTACAGGACACCCTCGGCAGTCTGCCGACTATCGTGCATGTGGATGACTCCCTGCAGGCCGTGAAGCTACAGTGCATCGGCAAAACCGTGGAGAGCCAGCTATATACCAATCCAGGTAGGGTAGTGAGTCTCGTGAATGAAACACTTTCTGAAAAGCCATTGCTTACCCCTGGTAATCATAGGTCAGCAGAAGCAATTAGAAAGAGGAAGCAGAAAATTCCTTTCTCAAAAGCATTGTATGTTTGGATAACAGAATAAATGTATTAAGTGGCCAAATATAGCAGCATGGCTGTCAAAGCTGTATTTCTAGAAAGAATGAAAACCCTGATTGAATTATTGATTCTAATCATAAACTGGTGGTGATGTCAGGCATGCTTATTTTCTTGTTACAGGTTTTATTTATTTTTTTTTTTAAAGATTTTATTTACTGGGGCACCTGGTTGGCTCAGTTGTTAACCGTCTGCCTTTGGCTCAGGTCATGATCCCAGGGTCCTGGGATCGAGCCCCATTTTGGGCTCCCTGCTCAGCAGGAAGCCTGCTTCTCCCTCTCTCTCTCCCCTGCTTGTGTTTCCTTTCTCGCTCTCTCTCGCGTGCGCTCTCTCTCTCTCTCTCTCTCTGTCAAATAAATAAAATATTTAAAAAAAAAGATTTTTATTTATTTATTGGAGAGAGGGTACAGTGAGAGAGAGCACGAGCAGAGGTGAGGGACAGAGGGAAAAGCAGACTCCCCTTCTGAGCAGGGATCCTGATGCAGGGCTCAATCCCAGGACCTTGGCATCATGACCTGAGCCAGAGGCAGACATTCAACTAGCTGAGCCACCTAGATTTTATTTTTTTTATTCAACAAAATTTAATCTTTTCTTTCAGAGAGGCTTACAAGGACCTGATATGATCCTTATTTGTTTGTCTCTTTGTTCTTAAAATGTTTCCATGGATTTGTGTTCTGAAACTGAGTGAAAGTTTTGATGTATTGTCATTTTTTATTTTGTACTAGTACATGACCAGTTACTGAATTGGTTTTGTCATAATACCTGTTATTAAATCCCACTGCCTTTTTCTTCTAGTTTTCCTTGAAATAAAATATTAGCCTCATTTTCTAGCTTATTTTAAGAAGTTTCTATCGCTGTCACTAAATAAACTTCTAAAAATGGACTCTTCTGAGAATTCTCTTTCCACATGAATGCATGTATGTGTATATTTTTGAAATAAGGTTTCAAATATAGTAAAAAAAAAAAGCTTTTTTTATATTATTTTATTGTAAAACATTTTAAACATACAGACGAGAATGGAGTGTAAGATAGTAAATCATTAATAAATCTCAGTAGTATCAGGTATTTGCTTTAGATCTTTTATTAAGAAATCGGTCACTAGAGATATATTTAGGCTCTCCTGCATTTACTGACTTACTTCAGAGAAATTCCCACTATCAGAGATTGCTGTTTGTGTTTTCTCTGCCTTTATTACAAATCTATAAAAACATATCTTTTTCTCATCTTTTCAAATATCTTTCATCTTTAGTCTTTGTATGATGACATTATGTTGTATGTCATTCCATAGAGTGCTTATTTTTGACTAATAGACTTTTCTATTTATCCAAGCTGTGAGATACATCTCTAGTTCATTCTTTCATTCTTTTTTTTTTTTAATTGGATGGTATTCCATTCTGAATGAATTTATCTTGGTTAATTTATTTTTTCTCCTGTCTATGGACTATTTGTTTCTGAGGTTTTTTTTTTTTTTTTTACCCTGAAATTATATTTCAGGAAATAAAAGAAATTTAAAACCTTCTAATTTTTCCCCAGGAAAACATCTTCTCTTGGAGAAAAACTGTTTCTTGCAGTGGTTTTGTGAACTCTGCTCCTCAAAAGCATAGGGGTTCTTCTTCAGTGATCAGGGCCTCCCCCATGATTAGGAGCAGGGGTACAAAGGAGGTAGAGATCCAGACCAAGGACTTGGTGTTAGTTTTCTATTGGTACTGTAACAGCTACTACAAATGTAATGGTTTAAAACAACATAAACTTTGTATCTTACATTTCTGCAGGGCAGAAGTCCAAAATGCTTCTCCCTGGGCTAAAATGAAGGGGATTAAGGTGTCTGCAGAGCTGTATTCCTTTGTGGAGGGTCTAGGAGGGATCTGTTTTCTTGCCTTTTACAGTTTGTAGGGGCCACCTGCATTCCTTGGCTTGTGGCCCCTTCCTCCATCTTCACAGCCCGCAGTGGAGCATCACGATCTCTCTCTGACTCGGACTCTCTTACTTCTTTCACCTTCAAGGACCCCTGTGTTTATACTGGGTCCATCCAGATAATCCAGGATAATCAAGACCCTTAATTTAATCACTTCTGTAGCATCTGTATTGCCCTTAGCTGTTCCCAGGTTCTGGGAATTAAGGCATGGACATCTTCAGGAGATGATTATCCTGTCTACCACATATGGGTAAAACAGAGAGACTCAAAAGCTTGTGATAGCTCACCTGCAGATAAGGAGGTAAAAAAAATACTTAAAAATCTATAAGTTTTATGTATGGATTAAAAGTTTTAAAAATGAGATTTCAAGCGCTACGCTTGTGCGGGTATATACATCTTAGTTAGAAGGATGTTACCAATGACACTCTCCTGACATAAGATTATAAATCTAAAATAGGACAAGATAAAGTAGAGATAAGGACATTACCAGGTATCAACTACATACATCATCAGTCAAAGACCAAATACTTCATTTTTGAGAGTATTTCTTTCTCAGAACATAGACTATGGTGAAGACAGTTGCTACTTTGAGCTTAAGACTTATCAGCAAAGAAATGGTTGGTGAGATCTAAGTGAGAAGAATCTGAGAAAGTGACCTTATTTCCTGAGAGTTGGTATTATCCAGAGAGAGGAATACAGAGTATAGTTGGCCCACATTTTTAAGAAAATAAATTTCAAAACATTTTAGAAAAAAAGCCCAGATGTTATAAGCTCCCCAGGAAAGACAAATCGTTCTAACGGTTGTCTTTGTGCTTGAATTCTGATAGAGTTCTCCAGAGGAACAGACCTAGTATGGGTGTGTGTGTGTGTGTGTGTGTGTGTACGTGTACAAGGTTTCGTATAAGGAATGAGCTCAAGTGATGATGGAGGCTGAGAATGCCTAATATCTCTAGCTGGTCAGCTGGAGACCTGAGAGCCCATGGTGGAAGTTCCAGTCCAGGTCTGAAGGCAGGAGAAGACTGAAGTCTCTGCTTTTTAAGACAGGCAGAAAGAGCAAATTCTCCATTTTGTCTCCTTTGGTTCTATTCAGGCCTTGAGTGCATTGGATGAGACCCACCCACGCTGAGGAGGGCAACCTGCTTTACTTGAGCTTCCAATTTCAATATGAATCTCATCCAGATATGGTCTCACAGACATGCCCAGGATAATGTTTAACCAAATATCCAGGTACCCCATGGCACAGTCAGGTTGATGCATAAAAACCAACACAAATCCCGAGGAGAAAAAAAAAAACAAAACAAGAAACAGGAAGCATGCATAGAAACCAGCACGACTATAGAATACTTCTGATTGAGCTCAGGTTAGAAATTAATACAGAGAAAAAGCAGAGGGACACATATAGTCAACATCAAAGAAGGGAATGACAAAAACCATAGGAAGATTCAGGCCAAGTTGAGTTGAGGGTCCGTGAGCAACTTCAGTGCTGGAGCCATTCCACAGCCAGGCAGAATTACATCCCCCCCC